ACATTTATATATATATATATATATATAGATAGATAGATAGATATACATTGTTATAAATATAGATAGATAGATAGATATAAAATAAAGAGAATTATATATAGATAGATAGATAGATAGATAGATAGATAGATACATTGTTCTCTCTCTCTCTCTCTATATATATATATATATATATATATAGATAGATAGATAGATAGATAGATAAATATAGATAGATAGATAGATATAAAATAAATAAATATAGATAGATAGATAGATAGATAGATATAGATAGATATATATATATAGATAGATAGATATAAAATAAAGAGAATTAGATAGATAGATAGATAGATAGATAGATAGATAGATAGATAGATAGATAGATAGATAGATAGATAGATAAACGGAAAGGGAAAAGGATGAGGGGTGTATTTTCTTCTCAATATAAAACCAATTCTCTGGACCTGAAATGATGCGAGATTGACATGTAGGTACCGAAGTAGACAAACATAACTGGGGGTAACAGGTGCGTTGAGAATGTCAAATTAAGTCGATCCAATAATTTGGAGAACTGTCAGGTAAAATCCGACAAGCTGAATGCTTGGCATTCAAGTTGATGAACAACGGGGAAATTTCTAAAGTAAACAGATTCGTTATAGGACACAATAACAATACAAGTGTCGAAATGGTCGAAATGGTCGAATTCAATAAGAAATACAGATGGGCTGATATGAAGTCTAAAGATTTTTGTCTTTTCCTTTTTACATTTTGCTTTAATTCGACTGACAATTGTTTCTCTAAGAAACTTAATTAAATAACCACATATTTTATTTTAATGAAATCGAAACGAAATCTATGTCTTTCAATTATAATTTATTGTTGACTGTGTCGTCAGCCTGTAACTAATCTATCAATATTAGCAGATCCTTGCACCTGTTCGTACCTGATTTTTCCTTGTTAATATTAAATGACCGCAACTTAACAATGGCGTTCGTTTTGGTGCCGACTTCCGGTGTGTTCTACATTGAATCTTGCGTCGTTCAGTTGCGCGTCAGACTAAGTTAATTTTTCTAATCGGACACGTACTTTTGTAATTATCTAATACTATGGCGATGTTAAACTAGCTACATTCTGTAGTTTCAGCATTTCGGATCTTCGCTGCTAGGGCCCGCCATTCCACGTATACGGCATCAAATCATCCTCATTCCATTCGTATTCCTTTGGTAAGGAATAAGTTCCACTCAGACAGATTCTTCCCCAGAATTGTTTCTTCGTAGAACAGTCTCCCGATGGAATGCTTTTCCGACCAATACACTGTTAACTTCTTCAAGTCTAAGTCAACTGATATCTATCCTACATATTCTATTAGTATACACCTCTTATATCTTACAACAACTCAGTAACCCTATATCTTGACTGATTCTTGCGGCTTTTATTAGGCGAGCTAAAAAATTTTTAAAGGATTTTTTTCATCTTAATTACAGTTTTGTTTTTGTCTTTTTTTCTGTTACAACTCCAAGATGGCCATTCTACGATCTTTACAGAGCACAGTGAACAGAAAGTAATGCATATGCCTCCAGAAAGGATCGAACTTGTATGTCATTATTTGCAGGGCCCGGATTTTTAGAAGCAGCTATATTACTGTCGATTTGGAGGTAATTTTCTTTCTTTCCTTTTTTTTTTCTATTTCTTTTTTTTTTTTTTCTTTTTTATGTTTTTGTTATTTCTTTTTATTTATTATTTCTTTTTTTTAGTTTTTATCTATTGTTTTTTTTTATTTTTATTTTAGCGTTTCACCCCCAAGCAAGGCAGGAGTGTCAATATCATGCAAGGGGTTACAGAGAGTGAAAGTAAAAGAGAGGTGTTTTAGGAAAGGACAAAGAGAAAGACGGGGATCAATATCATTGCATCAGAAGATGCCGATTGATAATTAAATTTAAATTTTTAACAATTATAGTTATCAGGGAGGCCACTAAGAGGAAGGGAGTTCCTCGGACGGGAAGTGCGAAAGAAAAAGGTTTTGGAGTAGAAGAGGCGATTACATTTATTTCGTTTATTTATTTATTTTCTTATTTTTTTTCTTACTTCTTTATTTTTACCTATTTCTTATTCCTTTTTATTATCTATTACGTATTTATTATTTTTCTTGATTTTTATCTACGCTCAGAGGTTAGCACAGTATTACATCTGATACTACCAGCTTAGTAAAAAGTAATAGAATTAAAGTGAAAATATACCATTATTCACATTCAAAATCTTATCGTCATCTTAACTTTTATTATACCAACGTTTCGGTCGTTGTGCCCTTCATCAGATGCTTGTTGATTCATGTAACCTTTAGGGAATTTCAAACTGAACCCTTTATCTAATTTAAAGAGGGAGATTGCTCTCGTTCCGTTGACTCGATCCAGGGAAATCTTCCCTCGTTCTTATTGAGAAAATGCTCAGTGATTTTTCATCCCCCACTTCTCGTTCTTTTTTCAAGTACACACTACCCGGAGAAATTGATTGAACTCACAATTACTGTGCCACCGAGTTCAGGAACCAACGCCTTTAAACCCCAAATCTGCTTAATCCACTGGTTTAGCAGATTACAGCGTTTGCATGTGAAGTTTGGTGACGAGGACGTTAGGGTGAATGCAATTGTATTTAATCGTAACTCCTCATTCCAGAAGCTTAGACAGAAGAAATATTCCCGTATAAAATTATTAGTCACCGACAATGTTTCATCTAAAAAAATTAGAATACTAGTACATATGATACTAAATACAGCAATGAAAAACAACAAAAATAAGATGAAGGAAATGGTAGTCGAAGATAAATAGTAATTTGGACTTTGGACTTGGACTTTGGGGGCTTACAGTACCAGGTGTTCCCAAGCGGTCCCCCATCTAAGTACTGACCTGGCTCTAGGCTGCTTAACTTCGGTGATCGTACGAAAACCGGTGTTTCAGCGTGATTTGACCGTAACCCTTACTAACCCTTACCTCACAGTCGGTGGGGGGTGTAAACGGTAGTGTCAGAGCTATGCCGCCCGGAACTTCGTTCCTGGTAGGGCCACCCAAGGCGGACAGGTCTGACACACACGCCGGCTAACAAGGGCTCTGGTGAAAATCCAAGGAGCGTCTGCATCGGTAACCGGCGGCTTCTGGTCGTTCCTGTCTCTGCGTCTGTGGGAACCCCGCGGCAAGCAAGAACGTTATCCGAGTAGGCCTGGGTTCCCTACTTCTGTAATTTATCCCAAGAATCTTCTTCTCATAACAGGAAGAAGCCGGCTCAATCCGCCCAGGGTGAATGCCGCATCAGCAGCATAAATAGTAATTGAAAATTCTTTAAAAATTCTATAACATCGAATACACCTTGTGCCATAAAAACCAACGAAACTCATATGAATAATTGGCCATAATTGATCTGAGTAATTCGAATATCAAATTAGTAATTTACATATTAAAAAAAAATAAGAAAATGTTATTGAATTTCTTTTCTTTAAAGTCATATTTCATTTAATGGTTTTATATCGTCTTCATTAAAGCTGTTCAAAGACAAAACTATAGAAATGTTATCTGTTTCTGTTTGTTTTGTCAGCTTTTATACATCTCAAATACGTTATTTTCTTCTATATATGATGAAACTATATTATTGTTCAGCTCGTTCATAGAGTATGACTGTTGCAAAGGGTGGGTAGGAGAAAAGAAACCAAAAAAAAAAAAAAACGGAAAAATAAAGAAACCCGAAAAAAAAAATAAAGGAATCCGGAAAAACATAGAAACCAGAAAAAAAAAAGAAATAAGGAATAAAAATGGAACAAGAGAAAAAGAGAAGCAGGAGAAAAAAAGAAACAGTGGAAAAGAAACAGGAGAACAAAAAAACTGGGGGAAAAGAAACAGGATAAAAAAAGAAACAGGGCAATAAAACAGAAACAGGATTAAAAAGAAAAGGGGAAAAAGAAATGGGGGTGGAGAAGAAACAGGAGAACAAAGAAACAGGGGAAAAGTAATAGGAGGAAACGAAATAGTTGAAAAGAAACAGGAGAAAAAAGAAACAGGAGAAAAAAGAAACAGGAGAAAAAAGAAACAGGAGAAAAAAGAAACATGATTAAAAAGAAAATGGGGGATGAAACAGACACGGGATGAAAAAGAAACGGGGATAAAGAAACGGGTGGAAAGAAACAGGAGAACAAATAAACAGGGGAAAAGAAATAGTAGAAAGGAAACAAGGGAAAAAGAAACAAGAGAAAAAAAGAAACAGGAGAAAAATGAAACGGGGAAAAAGAAAAAGGGTCAAAGAAACAGAAGAACAAAGAAACAGGGGAAAAGAAATAGGAGTAAAAGAAATAATAGAAAATAAACAAGAGAAAAAAGAAAGAGGAGAAAAAAGAAACAGGATTAAAAAGAAAATGGGGGATAAACAGAAACAGGATGAAAAAGAAACGGGGGAAAAAGAAAAGGGCGAAAGAAACAGGAGAACAAAGAAAAAGGGGAAAAGAAATAAGAGGAAAAGAAATAGTAGAAAGGAAACAGGAGAAAAAAGAAAAAGGAGAAAAAAGAAACGGGAGAAAAAAGAAACAGCGGAATAAAACAGAAACAGGATTAAAAGAAAAAAGGGGGATAAAACAGAAACAGGATAAAAATGAAACGGGGAAAATGAAACAGGGAAAAGAAACAGGGGGAAAAGTAAAAGGAGGAAAAGAAATAATAGAAAATAAACAAGAGAAAAAAGAAACAGGCGTATAAAAAAGAAACAGGATTAAAAAGAAAATGGGGGATAAAACAGAAACAGGATAAAAAAGAAACGGGAAAAAAAGAAACAGGGGGAAAGAAACAGGAAGAAAAGAAATAGTAGAAAATAAACAAGAGAAAAAAGAAACGGGTATAAAACAGAAACAGGGGAATAAAAACAGGATAAAAAGAAACGGGGGGAAAGAAATTGTGAGGAAAGAAACAGGAGAGAAAAAAAGAAACAGGGTAAAAAGAAACAAGGGAAAAAGAAACAGGATAATGTTAGCACTGTTTCTGCGTCTTTACTTTAATAGAAAGGTTAACTATCGAATTCTCGTTTTCTAAGGTAAATATGTCATTCTCAGTAAAGGAATGTGCAGATGGTAAATTAATGAGTTTCTTCATGTCGTCGGCTGGAATATTCGTCTTAATCATCAGCATTAAAAACACCGCATGCAAATGTAAATATAAATATTTAACAAATTAATTGTGGATTCTTTTTTCCTAACACAAAATGGTGACTTTTTTCCCTGTGACTTAGCAGCCACACTGACTAATACCTGGGTCTCTTGAGCTGGAAAACGGTAAGTTTTTTTGATCGATAAACCCCCAGAGTTAAAAGAAATTCGGCAAAGCGAAGGAGAAGGAAGTAATAGTGGATCTGAAGGAGGAATAGTTGGAGATAAAAACGCAAGACTTGACTATTAGGTTAATTTAATTCTTGGAAATACAGTGGTGTCTCCAATCCCGCGGTTTCTATTTTGATATTTCAGTTATCCGCGGCTAACTTCAGAAAGAAGTCATTCGAAAGTTTTAAAGTAACGGTAGTGATGCTTGCCATTCGAAAAATGCAAAAGGAAGTTGTGAACTGGTTCCTTTCGGCGAAAAGGTGAAAAATTCTCGACTTAAAATGAAAAAAAAAAATTCTACAGTAATGGTATCCGCCACGTCAATTATTACAGTCTATAGTTATAAATTGTTCTATTTTATTATTATTTTATTGTCATTAATCTCATATTGTACCTAATAAGATCTACGGTAAGAACGAATCTTCTATTCGTCATAATGACTTATTAAAGCATATTGTCAGAATTGTTTTATTTTATTATCAGTTAGTGTTGTTAATCTTTTATTGTGCCTAATAAGATCTACGTCATATGTCTTTTATTACGAGGTACGGCCAAATTTTTTTTTAAAAATGGCTTCTTAACTGTTTTTAAAAATTGGCAAAAATCATTTAAATGGCATTTTCAGTACATATTCATTAATATTTGAACTGTAAATCGGTCATTTTATTAGAAAATTTTGCGAAAGTATTGTTTTGGGGTCTACCCAGATATAAGAGACCCGGATATAAGAGAAACCCGGATATAAGAGACTTCTTCTCCGGTCTCGACAACTCTCTTATATCCGGGTCACACTGTATTGTGTGTACTTTTTAATTTAGATGGGAGGATATTCGTGAATGTTTACAGTTATTCAGTGTAACCCGGATATAAGAGAGTTGTCGAGACCGGAGAAGAAGTCTCTTATATCCGGATTTCTCTTATATCCGGGTTTGGTCTATTATATATACATTAACACAGGCTCTAATTTGGGACCAGAGAAAATTTCTCTTATATCCGGGTTTCTCTTATATCCGGGTTACACTGTATAAAGAAAAATACCTGAAGATGTTATTTCAGTAAAAAAAACATTTATTTCGAAACATATCTCGGGAAGAAATAAATGTTTTTTTTAAGAGATTTTTAATTTTCCTGTTTAAATATTTTCTTCTAGATTGGTTTCTTGATAAGTCGATGAGTGACAGGTAAACGTGCCAACTTTTTATAAATGTCTAAAAACTTAATTTAAATGCAGAAATTGACTTTTCTTTTTATACGAATTTCCTTTAGACTATTATCTTTCAAAGAAAACCAAAATTTAATTTCAATGAAGACATAAATTGTTTAAAATGAATTTTTCGGTTGTTGTTTTTACGAAGGCCATGGTGTTACCAAGTAATCATTGTTTAATTTCGTTATTAGTTACTGTTGTTAAACTCTCATTGTACCTAATAAGATCAACGGTAAGAACGAATTATATATCCGAAACATATTAACTACGGTAGAAATATAATTGGGATTTAATATTATTAACTCATGTAGTTGGTGTAAAAGTTTTTTTTCGTTTTTTTTTTTTTTAATTGAAGAAAAATTTTCTAACTTTCCATTTTAAAAGTTTAATTGTTTTAACACAGTTCAGACTTCGGAATTTATACTATGTTAAAACTTTACCGTTTGCTTTTGTCTGATTACAAATAACCCACTGAAGTTGATATGCCATATATCAACTTCAGTGGGTTGTTTAATGCTGACAAGATTTATATTTCTAGTAATATTTTCAAAAATGTATTGCTGGTAATATATTTTTCCTTCAAAAATATATTGTTGGTAATATTTTTTCAAAAATTATTTGCTGGTAATAATTTTCATTCAAAAATTCATTGCTGTAATAATAATTTAAAAATATTGCATTGCTGGTATTAAAACTTATTTTTGCAGTTTCATAGTGTTAACTATTTGCCCATAGCTGGAACCCGAACAGATGCTACCACCCCAGGTCAAGCTGCACCTGGGAACACCAGCAATTAAGAGTTGGTTCCACGCTCTTCAATACCTCCTGGTCAGAATCCTTGTTGTTGGTTGTAGTTTATTATTTTACCCAGGGCGCGGGTGTAGTTTATCGTCTTACCCAGGACGGTAAAACATTACATAATCCAATTTTATACCTATCAAAGAATAGTCACATTGTATAATATTTAACCTGTTATGTGTGTTTTTATATGTGGATGAGATGAACCGCTAAATCCATGGTGAAGGTATTTCGTCTAGGAGAAGGTAACTTCTGACAATAAATCAAATGGGTGGATAAAGCTTAGTAGCCATCTTAATGGCTATTTATCCAAAATAAGGAAACCAGGCTTTTTGTGCCTATGAGAATGCCTAAAAATCTAAATGAATACCATATCGTCCGTCACACGGGTTACCAAGGGACACATCCATCAGTGACAGAGAGGGCCGAAGTCTTAAAATTTCCTCCTGGTAAGGAAAGGTCTAGTCAGCCACTTAACTTATCAACAATTGCCGACATTTTTGTTCGTGGCTGTAAAATCCGAGTGATATCAGCTTATGTCCCAACTGAAAAAAGTATTATTTCAGCAAAAGAGAATTTCTGAACAGGATTAAGTAAACTTTTTTTTTATATTATTAAAAAAAAAAAAAAAATGAGAAAACTGTTCATTAGTGGGGATTTTAATGTTACTTCAAGTTTTTTTTTTTAGAGCCATTTCCCCTTTAATGGCTAGAAGACATTACCATTTTTTTTTTTACAATTTTGTTACTCAAAAAGATATTTCATCCTTAGCACATGGTTCGACCATCCCATGAAGCACTGCATCACAGTATAGTCCAGATAACTAAACACAAATTATCTTACATTATTTACATTATTCGAACTTTATTTCCCTTTAACTTAACTCTCCAACCTTTAGTTGCAATAATAACAATAAAAGTTGCAATATGAGGTCTGGTAAAAACACGAAAATGATAACAGCAAAAATTGCAATATGAGCACTGGTAAAAATGGTTGCTGAGACAGTAGATTTATATGTCCCAAAAATTCATACACAGATGTCCTCAAGAACATCCAGTGTATCCAGTGGATAAAGATATTTGGTTAGATCCAGTGACTAGAGTTCAATACCAGGCCACGCGAGTTCAATATCAGTGGTGAACCAACACCTGGAGAGTTAAAGGGAAATAACTGTGTACATGGAACAAGAACAATCTCTCCCGGTGGACGGAATAAAGGGTTCGAATCGAAATTCTAATCACCTGAAGAAGGCCGGAGCGTACAACGTTGTGAATATGGCAATGAAGATGAGGATAACAGTCCGAATAATGTAAATAATGCAAGAAATTATAAGTTCTCATCTCAAAGATATAGACAATTAAGACAAAATATTATTGGTTTCAGTATCTCAGACTCTAGTTTGTGACAGATATTAGAGCATACAACTCCTACTTTATATCTGACTACTTGTAACTAAATCCAGCCATAAGTCTGAAAAAACACCTCGGTACAACATTCAGACCCTGAGAAATGAAAGAATCCAGTAATAAGCTAATCTTGATCCAAACAACTTGCAGGTGTTAAATAATGCTATCAAGAAAGAGTACGTAGAAGGTCATAGATACTCCTGAGAGATGAAAATTCTGAGTTTAAAAAAATTGATGCAAGAAAGAAACAAATAAAAGAGGAAGAAAAATGGAAGGAAACATACGAAACAATAAAGAAAATAAGGAAAAATTATTTAACGCTCAGAGAAAACAACATCTCCGGAAAATTGAAAACGAAAATTAACGAAGCCAACGAGAATAAAAAATGCGTTAAAATATGGAGAAAAGTAACAACCAAAAACATAATAACGGCATACAATCAAAACTAACACAGAAAAAATGTCTTGGGATACTGAACCACTTTTCAACCCTACCGCAAAACAAAAGATGCCTGAATAAATAAAAAATATATCAATATGCATCCACTCATTACAAAGTCCGTCTCCAAACATAAACGATAATGAACCTATTCATGAAGAAATTAAGAAAGCTATTAAAAAAAAAAAAAAAAAACTAAGGGATAATAAAATGCATCAAAAAATACTTATGCTAAACTTTTGAAAAATACTTTCTCACCAAATTCAATAACAAATTTCTCAAGTTTATGACGGAAGTTTGGAACCAGAGACGCATCCCTAAAAAGTGGGGTTCATCGTGGATTAACCCTTTGAGCCCTGACCACCGCTTTATCAGTGGTATAGAAAAATATAATACCCAGCCACCGGTTGAACGGTGGTAGAGAAAAATGACATAAGGCCCAGCCACCGTTTGAACGGTGGGTAAACACTTGTAACTATTTTTATATCTACCGTGAAACATACCAATTGTTAGTGAATTTTGACTCAGAAGCTCAGAGAGAAGGCTTAAAACTGTTCAGGAACACGGGGCTCAAATGGTTTATGTACTATGGAAAGAAAAAGGTAGCCGACAAAGAACAACACATATATAAATGTAGCTCTATTGGATCCATTACGTTGAAAGTACAGTGTAACCCGGATATAAGAGAGTTGTCGGGACCAGAGAAGTCGTCTCGTATATCCGGGTTTCTCATATCCGGGTTTCTCATATCCGGGTTTGGTCTATTTTATATACATTAACACAGGCTCTAATTTGGGACCTGAGAAAATCTCTCTTATATCC